GGGGGTCTAGGACTCGAAGGGGCTGGAGATGAGGAGGGTGTCTCCCACCCAATGCTCAAAGGACCCAGGTGTCTGGGTCCCTCAGCTTGGGGGGCCAGGGGACAGGAAATGAAACCTGATAGAACAGAAAGTGAAACTGCCCTGGTGGGGCCTCGGGAAGGAAGGTATGGGGCTCTAACACACCTGGACCTGGCAGAAAAATAAAACTGGGGTGAAGCCTGAGCGGGGCAGGCTGGGGACGTGAGCCCTGGATAAAGTTCACCCAAGGGACAATCTGCCTCCGTAGGCCACCAGCTTCCCATGAGGTGGGCTGAACTGGGGTGGGGAGCTGGGTCTGTTAGATTTGGGTGTTTGGTGGGTAAAACCCTATCTGTTCTCACTGCTAAGAGCCAGTCCACAGAAGATTAGGACTGCCTTGGCTCTGACCCCTGGGAAGTCTCTGTGTAAGCTTCAGTTTCCTTGTCTGGAGAATGGGGGAGCTGGCCTAGTTCCTCATGTTTCTCTGAAGCCCAAAGGATTCATTTCCAGGAGTCTGCAAAGATTCTGGAATTTGAATATTTTGGGATTCCAACATGCTCACATTACAGAATTCTACACTCTAGATTCCAACCTCGTATCACTATATATTTTAGGATTTCAATAACCTACATTAGCAGTAATCTAGTATTTTAATGTCCTAGGCTTCTGACAAGCTAGGACTGATACTCAGTATTTGAATTCTTCAGCATTCAAGGGCTTCATCCATCCAGCATTCCAAAATTCTAACATTTTAACTCTCTAGGATTCAACACTCTAGGAATCTAACATTCCAACATTTTAATGTTTTACTGTTTCACAAACCTCAGATTCTAATATCTGAACACTAACATAATGGCCCAGGATGCCTAGTCCAACAGTTTGTGATTCTAAAATTCTCATATTTGTACAGTCCACTACTCCAACACACAGAAGCCCTATTCGAACTTTTAACATTTTAGGATTCAGATGTGGAGTTCCACCTGATCCCCTCATAATGCCTAGCTGCCCACCCTGGGGACTGTGGTGTCCAAAATTAAGAGCAGGGTAATAGTACTGTGAGTAGGAAAGGCAATAGTCTCCAGAGCCTCTAGGGGTGCAGAAGGGGTGGCTGCCCCTCCACACACATCTCAGGCTTAGGGAAGGGCAGAACTGGGCTCTGAGACCTCACTTGCCCCTGGCAGCTAACTCAAGCACCTGCACCCACACATGTCACCGGATCGCCATGGCCAGCCTGGGTTCAATTTCTCCTGTTTCCACCAAATGGGAGGCCCGGAATGGGCCTGGACGTGGAGGTCCCCCGAAATCTGCTGCCCCTTCCTCCCCTTTCTACACCTGTCTGGCCTCTCCCTTCCTCCCTGTTTGCTGCAGAAAACAACATGCAGGGACATGAAATTTGGGGAGGCCTCTGGGGCACCCCACCCCTGCCCAGTCCTCTCTCAAAGGGATGTGGGGTGAGGGGCAATGGCCGGGGAGCAATACCCCCATTCCTCCATCACACCCAATACTCAGGTCTCCTCCCCTCCTCTTCCACACCCCAGGCCACAGACCCCTCTGCCAGCACTCCCTCCTTCAGCCTCTCCCCAAACTGGATCGGTGAGCCGGTGCCCTCACCTTCTGGTCCACGATGGAACAGGCCAGCTGCTTCACATGAGCCAGCTCAGAGGCGGCGGGCAACAGCACGAACTCGCGGGTCAGTCCGATCTGGATGTGAAAGGAGACCCCGGAGCCCGGGACCGGGATCTGGGGCAGTAGCGGTGGCGGCGACTGAAGCTCTAGACCGCCGGGGGGCGGAGGAGACCCCGGCCCGGGAGAGCCAGGGAGCCCCGCGGGATAAGAGGGGGCGGCGGCCATACGGGGAGGCCCGGGACCCGCCGCCCAGCGCCCACCCGGGACCCGGCTGGTGGGGCCCCGGGGGACCACAGGTCCTAGATCCGCGGGATCTCGTTAGCAGGTGGTGGCAGCGCGGGGATCCTAGAAGAGATCTGGCAGGCGGCAGGGACCTGAGGATGGCGGGGTCCTGGGAAAGAGAGGAAGGCATTGTCGTGGGTCAGAGGCCCGGAATCCAGGGCTCCCAGAAGATCAGAAAGGAGAAAAGTAGTGATTTGGGGGTCCCAGCGATTAAGAGATTCCAAGAAGCCGAAGGGGAAATCTAGTAGGTCGCAGGGATCAGGAGAGCCCGCGATTCAAAGGCCCCTTCCCTAGAGGAGGGACTGAGAAGGGGGCAGAGGGAATCCCAGGATCCAGTGCTCCAAGAACAGGATCCCACTCAGAAGGCGGCCCGGGGGATTCACCTTGAGGGTGGAAGACAGGAGTCTCTGAGTCGGGGACCGAGTGGATCCCAGAGATAAAGGGGTTCGCAGGAACCGCGAGCGGCCCGGGGATGGGCAGAGGGGTCCCGAGGGCCGGGGTAGGTAGCAGGGAATCTCACGGGTCGCGGAAGTTGGCGAAAAGTTCGGTCGGGAGCCGTGAGGAAGGGGGCGTTGCTGGCGGCGGAGTGGGGTGTGGGGCGGGGAGGGTCGCCAGGCGCTGGTAGCTCTTTCTCCCCCTCCAAAGTTTAAGTCTGCGGCTACGGCCCAGGAGGAAGTGTCCGGAGCGACAGCGCAGTCGACCAATCGACGCGGGCCTCGGTGACGTCAGGGAGGGGCGGAGCCTGCCGAGTGGCCGGGGGCGGAAGGGGGGGCGGAAGGGGGCGCGGAAGGGGGAGGGGCGGGCCCGAAGCCTCGGAGTTGGGGGCTGGACCTCCGCCGCCCGAGTCAGGGGCCAGGGATGGTGTGGGAGATGGAGGGCAGGCAGTCGGGACCGACTCCTTCACTGAACACAGCTAAGTCTGGAAAGTTAACTTTTCCCTGGGCTGGACGGGGAGGGGAGACACCCTCACCCACCGCCGGTCGCGGGCGTCGGGCTTGGAGGCCACTAGCCCTTTAAGGAGGGGCGCCCTCTCGGGCTGGGGGACGTCCGGCGCCCACCGGAGGGGACAGAATGGGAAATTGATGTCAGGTCTCGGCCAGCTCCCTGGGCTCGGCCTCTGTGTTCTCCGAGCTTCGCCCTGCCCTCCCCGCCCCGTCCCAGCCCAGGGGAGGGGGTGCTGCGGAGCGCTCCCCCGCCTTCCCAGCCTATTTCTCAGATGGGGAAGACCGAGGCCTCCAGATGGGCAGGAAGGCCTCGCTTCAGATCTGTCTGCAGCGTTGCTGGGCAAGGTGCATGGCGCTAACTGGAGGATGTTTGGGAAGGGTCCATTCCCACGCCCACCCCAACTCCGCCTTAGGACGGTGTGGGGCTGTCCGGAAAGGGAGACAGCACACCCACACCTCCTTCATAGAAGGAGAGTCTCCTGGGGATGTGCAGTACGTGTGCGTATCTTTCTCTCTGTGTGACTTTAGGTGAGTGTCTTTTCCTCTGTGAGCCCCAGTCCCTCCTGTTAGAAGGGACTGTAATAGGACTGACCCCACATAGGATGATGGGGACCGATGCAGTGGCACACAGGTGCCTGGAACCCAGCAGCTCAACGTAGTGGCTGTCTCTAATAATATGCGGAAAGGGGTGGGCGCCTCCAGCACTCAGGCTCTGATGGGCGGACCCGTCCATTTAGTCATCCAGCAAGTATCTGTGAGGACCTACTGGGTCCTGGATGGGCCCTGACATAAAACAGCCGCTACAGGGGTCAGTCTCCACAGCTAATAATCAAATAGTGGCTACCGTTTAGTGTACGCAGAGTACACAGAGTAAGCTGAATCCTCAGAGAAGCAAAGCGACTTGTGGAGATCCCAGAGTGAAGTTGCTCCAGGGAAGCTGCCCCACCCACCCCTTTGATTGACAAGTCAAGGCCTAGGTTTGAGCACTAAGAGAAGGGCCACCTGTCTGGCTGGGATGCCATAGGACTGGAAATGGCACGGCTGGCTGGGGATGGGGGCTGCCAGAAGAGCCCCTCTTCCTGGTGTAGGGCCGTTGGGGGTTGCTGAGGTCGGTACAGAATCGATTCTGTCACCACATCCGGGGGCTGGGGCTGGGGCTGGGGAAGGAAGTCTGAGGCTGGAGCGAAAACCCAAACCACCACCTGGGGAACTGCATCAGCCCAGAGGAATGAGCAGGGAGCACGCCACGTGGAGCCCACGCAGGCTCCTGTGGGCGTCACCTAAGGGCCTCCTGCACTCCTGCACCCTTTTTCCTGAGGGGAAGATGACTGTCCCAGCAAAACACTGCCATGTCTCCAGTGTGCAGGCAGAAGCCTCTATCCTTCCTTTTATGTTCACTGGGGCCTGCTGGGGGGTTGGGGGCACAGCCCGTTACATCCCAGGAAGTTGGCATTAGTGGCCTGTGGCAGAGGAGCTGGGATTGCCTGGCTGGTAGGTGGTGGAAGCCTCCTTCTGGAGATAGAAGCTCCATCTCATCTGGAACTATGTGGAGAGCTGTTCCCTCTTTTCAAGGCTGCGGACCCAGTGAAATGCCATGTAAAGCACCCTGCACAGTAGACACAGATCTCTGAGAAGGGAAAGGACGGACTCATCAGGACAGGCGCCTCCTCCCAGCACAGAGGAGCCTGCGATCTGTGCCCCAAAGCCATCATCCACCGCTGGAAGGTGCAGCCTTTCCCTCCCTGCTCCTTGTGGGCCTGGGATGGGAATGGGAGGGGGGTTTATGTCCTCTGGGCACCAGCCCATTGGCCTCACCCCCACCGATTACACATTCCAGGCAGACCTAGGCATCAGCTGAACTGTCATCACAGCATCTGCTCCCCAGGGTTCTGTCCCTGGGGGGGGAGCACTTAAGGACAGAAAGGGCACAAGGAGATTCGGTCCATTGCCTCTTCTGCTCTCCACCCACACCCCACCCCACCCAAGCTCTGGGCCCCTCTCCGGCCCCTGCTGCCCTACCACAAAACCCAGCCCATCATATCCCCTCTCCAAACCACCCAACCCAGCCAGAGCCGGTCACTCCTCCCCCAAAGCTCTCAGTCCCCTCAACAGATGGCACTGTCACCCATCTTACTCCAAAGGGTTTATTGAGACAAGTTTTCACATACAAGATGGGGGCAGAGAGGATGGGGCTTATAAACAGGAACCTGGAAGGGGACCGAGGGTGCAGGAAACAAGAAAGTGAAATAAATAGAGGAAAGAGTGGAGGCAGGGACAGACTGACTGAGACCATCACACAGTGACAACGCAGGTGGGGTGGCATGAAAATCCTGTTATTTATACAGATATACAGGGAGTTCAGGTGGGCCCAGGGGCCCACTCCACCCTCCACACCCCAGGGAGGGGCACAAGGCTGTCTCTGCCCATGGGCGACCCCCGTGGAGTACTGGGAGGTCTGCCCTAGGAGTCTTGGGCAATCCCTGGGCCTTGGTTAGTGTCTGGAAAGCAGTGAAGAGGGCCGGAGGGAAGGCGCAGCCAGCCCAAGGCTCCCAGCTGCCACCCATTCTCCCAGCACAGCTCCTGCACAGCTCTGGGAGGATGGGGTTAGGGGAGCAGGAGCTCAAGGGGAGAACCTGGCACCTTCTGGTGTCTTGGAGAAACTGATCCCTAAAGACACCTGGCCCTGGCTGTGCTGCCCTCCCCAAGGCAGCTCTGCTACCAGGAACAGCTGTCAGGGCACAGGGGGAAGCCCCGAGGCCATCCTCGGGGGTGATTCCTGAAACGGGCCCATCCCCAGGCTGGATGCTTGGGGAAGGCAGCCGTGGGGGAGGGATTCCTGGGGAAAGGGCCGTTAGCACCACCAGGCTCCATGGCAGACAGGCAGAGGCCAGGCCTCTGCACCTCCAGTGAGGCTGGGAGACCCTGCAGGAGAGAAGAAAGGGGAGGCTGAGCCGCTGCCTCTAGGGTGCCTCTCGGGCCTCAGTCCCTCCGCTGCATGCCCAGGGCTCCCCCAGTGATTCACAGGGTGCCCCTGACTACATCTTGGGAATCAGCACCTGAGGAATATCAGCCCAGGGGTATGCGTGGGCTCAGGATGCAGGGTTTCTGCCCTCACCTCAGCCCCACCTGCCCGGCCCCACTCCCCAGCCAGCGTGTCGGCCAGGGCAGGGCCAGGTGGGCATCATACGAAGACCTTGGCCAAGGCATCGGCGCCAGCACTGGCGATGAGGGCCTTGCTGGGGTGGCAGGCGACAGCATGGATGGCCTCTTCGTGCTTCTTGCGGTGGGCTGTGATCTCCTGCACGCACGTTTTGTTGTCCAGGCTCCAGAGACGCAGGGAGCAGTCATGGCCTTCGCAGGTGTGGGGGGGCCAGAAGGGGTAGTCATGGGGCTCCTCGCTCAGACTCAGCCCTGGAGCCCCTCACCTGGCCTTGTCCAAAGGCCTCCGGGGAAGTAGGGCTCAACTCTCCTCTCCCTCACCCTCTGCCCATCACCTCCTGAGGCCCACCCAAAGGAGAACCCCCATCCCCTCCTGTCCATGGTCCATCTCATCCCCCAGCATTTCCTGAGCAGCTACTGCACACTGAGCCCCAGGGGCGGGGAGCGAACAAAACAGGCAACTCTCCCTGCCCAGCAGCACTGAGGCTGCAGCTAAGACAGGAAATGAAGAAAGCAACCCAGGGGTCAGTGTGAGGACAGAATGGCCCCAGGAGGAATGCAGGGAGCCTTCCAGGCAGAACAGATGGGGAAGGTCCCAAGGCAGGAGGCAGGGGTAGCCACAAGAGCCTGAGCAGGGCCCTGGTGAGGAGACGTCCGGTTTAGGGTCAGGAAGACTAGGCAGGGCAAAGGCTCAGCTTCTTCCACTGTCTAGCAGTCCCCAGAATTGAGGCCTGTCTGTGGGGACCCGGACCCTGTACTAATCTCTGCACTGGGCTGGATCTCACTGACCAGCCCCTCACCGACCAGCCCCTCACCCACCAGAGGCTGCCAGCACAGGCCTGGAGGCAGAACCAGCCACAGCTTCCATCACCATGGCCTGCGCCTCTATGCACGCACACGCACTCATGCCTGCACCTACTGCAGGCCTTACCAGGCAGGCCTTGCCCTTCACCCCACAGCAAGCTCCAGCCCCCTTCTCCACCCACCCACATCCCGCTCCATCCCTTCTAAGCACAGCCTGTTGCTGCCCTGGATGCCCTTATCCAGAGACGGAGGGTAGGAGAACATAAGTCCCTGCGGGGACTGGCCAGGCAGACCTGGAGCAATGCTACGAGGCCCTGACGCCAAGTTACAAAGGGTCAGGGCCACATCTGTAAACTGGAGATAAAAGTACCAACCGTGCAGGTTGTTTAGAGGCCAAATGAGATGATGCAGCTCCAGTGCCCCAGGGAGCTGATCCCGGAGTGCTGTGCTGCCCCGTATCTCCTGTCATTTCACCCAAACCGGCTTCCTTCAGTCCTGGCCCCCAAGCCCCCTGAGCACTTGCCTGAGGCCAGTGCCCAGGCTTCTTCCTCCCCTTCTCCCCAACCCCAGTGGGCCTAGTGTGCCCAGCTTACTTCCTGACATCAGGAATACGCCATTGGGGTCCACGGCTAGGCAGGTGACTGCGTCCAGGTGTGCAACCATGGAGTGCACCGGTTTACCTGAGGTGAGAGGGGGTGGGTGGCAGGTTCCCCTCCCACTCTGGGCCTCCCTGGGAGAGGGAAAGACCTGGAGGAGACCCTCCCAGGGCCTCCCACCGGGACTCGAGCGTCTCTGACGCCTGCCCCTGGCACTCCCCACCCTCCACGAACACAATGGGCTGGACTTCACCTGTCCGATTGTCCAGGAAGCGGATGCCCCTGTCGTCGTGGGCGGTGATAGTGAGAGGCTGGTTTGGGTGACTCGCCACTTGGTTGATCTGGGTTGGACCTGAAGGAAAAGCAGGGTGAGAAGGATGTCAAGGGGAAGATCAGGAAGACCAGGACGGAGGCACAAGTGCAGCATGACAGCCCTACACCAGCCTCTGCCTGGATGTCGAGAGGGGCTGGGCAAGGCCACTCCCATCCCTGACCTCAGTGCTGGGTCTGCACAAGGAGCCCCTGGGCCATCCTGGAGCTGGGGGAAGAATAGTAACAAACATGAAATTCCACTACTCTACCAAGAGGGCCCAATAGGGTGTCCCTGATACACTCTCCCCACCTGGCCCCCCAAGTGCCCTGGCTGTGAAGGTGGGGGCCCTGCACCAGGACTCGACTTCCTTCCTGCTCAGGGCCCGAGGGTGCAGGGGAGTCATCTGAGCTGACTGGCAAGAGGGTCATCAAAGCCCCAGGAGGAAGTGGGGCCCGGAAGACACAGAGCAATTCCATGAGCTGCTGTCGGCCCGCTTACCGCTGCTGCCCCGGGACTCCAGTGTGAGGAGAGCACTGCCAGCCTCCAGGTCATACAAGACGGTGTCGCCAGAGCGGAAGGAGGCCACGATGTGGGCAGGCTCGGTGCTGGTAAAGGCCACTGAGGTGGGGACCCCGTGTTCTGAGGGCACAGGGGAGAGAGGGCTGCTGAAGGGACCCTCAGATCCAGCCCTGCCCCAGGGTGGGGGACTGTGGGTGGGAGGCCTGGGGCCTCAGCGGGAACCACCCTGACAGCCTCCAGCCCCGTAGAGCTCCAGGGTGAGGTGTAGCCTCCACTCACCGCTGGTTGTGGGGAAGGTGCAGAGGCAGGTCGGGCTGCTGCTGCTGGGGTCCCAGATGCGGACGGTGCCATCGGCGGAGCAGGAGGCCAGGCGCTGGGAGGCAGAACTGAAGGCCAGGCCCCACACGGCATCGCCGTGGCCCTCCAGGACGTGGCTCAGCACGCTTGGGTCTGCACCCACCGCAGGGAGGAAATGGGCTGTGTCAGGACTGCCAGCTCCTCCCTGGACAGCCTGGAGCCCCAGTTCTGCCAAGCCCCAGGTGGCTGGGCTCGAATCACCTGTGCACCCGCTTCACGCCCTGGTGCCCCTCAGAACTGTCCACCACCAGGACAGCACAGAAGCTGCTCACACTGCCCGCTAGCTCTCTAAGGAAGGTTCTAAGGCTCCCGAAGGCAGGGATTTCCCTCCATTCACGGCTGTCCCCCCAAGCAGGGCCCAGAAACTGGAAGCTCAATTCAGAATTTTTTCAGTCTCCATTAAGAAAAAAGGAACAGTGTGGTTCTGTGCCCCCACAAGCGGCACACAGCCTGTACTGGCTGAGGGTCCGCCCCAGCTCCGGCCTGTGCAGTCTTTTCAGCCCACGGCCCAGTGCCTGAGCCTCACTTGGTCTCTCCAAAGCCCCCTAGTGGTTCAGAGGTCCAACCACTGCCTCCCTGGTTGCTGAAGTCCATGCTGGCAGCTCTGGCCTGCTGACACCGAAGGTGTGGTGGCCAATATGTCTGGGACTGACCCCTGACCTTGTGCAGGTGAGCCTGTTCTCTAACATGTCCTCCCCTTGAAAGCAGACAAAGACCTCTGAACTCTGCCCGGACAAGATGGAGCACAGGGCCAGATGCATGATCAAAAGAGGAGGCAGAGCCGGGCGTGGAGGCTCACGCCTGTAATCCCAGCACTCTGGGAGGCAAGCGTTATCGCCTGAGGTCAGGAGTTTGAGACCAGCCTGGCCAATATGGTGAAACCCAGTCTCTACCAAAAATATAAAAATTAGCCGGATATAGGTGTACACACCTAATGCTAGCTACTCAGAAGACTGAGGCATGAGAATCACCTGAACCTGTGGGGCAGAGGTTGCAGTGAGCCAAGATCACGCCACTGCACTCCAGCCTGGGCCATAGAGCAAAACTCTGTCTCAGAAAAAAAAAAAAAAGGTGGCAGAAAGCAGGAGGACAGATGTTGAATGGAAGTGGCAGTCTGGTCACTTCCCTAGTTAGCTCTTAGTTGCCCCAAAAAGAAAGCCCCAACTCCGTCCAGCCTGGCCCAGCTAACTCCACCTTCTCTACTTTCTTCTCGCATGCCCTCCACCCAACCACGCAGACCCTGGCAGATCCCCACAGGCAGAGCACACAGCGTGGCAGAGCAGAGGCTGCCAGGGCTGGCCACGCCTGTGCATGGGCTGCTCCCGGCCTGGGCGGCCCCAGCTCTGCCTCCTAGATGCCAGCTCATGTGGATTCTCAGTCACCTTCACCATCTCCTCTCACAACCATCATTCCCACTTGGCTGGCCCAGCCCTCAGCCACGCACTGCATCTCGCTGCTCTTGACAGAGCAGCTCGGAGCGCTCACACACACTCCCAATGCCTGCAATGCATCCACAAGAAGTGGATGAGGCATGTGCATGCCTATGTGCATGCGTGCATGCGTGGAGAGACAGCCAGGCCCCAGCAGATGTGAGGGGAAGGCAGGCAGCGCTGTCCTCACCGTAGCCATCGTAGGGATCCATGCTGAGGTCTGGAATCTTCCAGCTGTGGATGCAGGCATCCGCCCCTCCACTATAGCAGTATTCGCTGTTGCTGCCCATGGCCACGGCCAACACTGGTCCCCTGGAAGAGACAAAGATGCGAGAAGGGGATGAGACAAGCTCAGAGCCTCCCCTGGCCACAGGACCTATGTTCCTACTAGCACTCAACATTGATGGCCAAAAGGAATTCAGCAACTGGGGCTCTGGCCGTGCCACCTGGATTGGTTGCCTGTCCCCTGCCCTCCCCTACCCCACCTTCCCTGAATGGCTGTGCTGGACACCAGCTACCAGGGCATGAGAAAGTCAGCACAGAGCCCCAGGAGCCAGGGCTTCGTTTATCATGGAGGGGCACAGGGACTGAGCCCCCTGCTGTCCTGCCTCCTGCCACAGGCCTCCTAGCATGGCGGTTAGTGGGTTAGGGGTCAGACTGCATTTGGGACGAAGTTTCTAGCAGGCTCAGGGGCACCTCCCTACCTGTGAGCCCGGAAGGCATGGATAGGTTCCACATCTAGCGCCGCATTCCTGTGGGATGACAGATGAGCCTGATGTCACTGAGACCCTGTCACCCCCGTCCCCAGATGCCCCTACCCCTGGCTCTGGGCTTGCTGCCCTCACTTCTTGGCCGTGACCGCCTTCTGCAGGTTCCAGAGCTTGAGCGTGCCATCCTCGGAGGCAGTGAGCAGAGCCGACTGGCTGTGGTGGAAGGCCAGAGAGCGGATGCCGTCATAGTGTGAGCGCAGGGTGAACTTGGGGTTCCACGTCTTCTTAAAAGCATCTTTGCTGTCAGACAGCTGGGGTTGGGGGGAGCTGCCTCAGTGTTTTTGCATCCATCTCAGCAGTCACGCAGACACTGACACCCAGGGCTTGAGGCCCCTCCCTTCCCCCCAGATGGCCCTGGCAGGAATGCCGGGACCTCTCCCCTTCCTCTGCAGGGCAGTCTCCACGCTTGCTCTACAAGTCCCCACATTGGGCTAGGTTCTGGAGAGACAGGTGAGCCTGACCTCTTGGGGTCTTGCAGTTGAGAGGAAGGAGACTGAGAGAGACACTGGAGCATCCCACACATGTGTGGGATGACGAGCCATGAGCAGGGCAGTGAACTAAGATGCACAGGGAGACAGCAGGCAGCCTGCCCTCTTCCCAGGGCCACTGAGGCTTTCCTGAGGAAGCTCGAGTGAGCAGGACTTCACCAGATATGCAGAGGGCCCTGGAGTGGACAGGTGCCTGTGCAGCGGCCCCGGGCAGCATGAACGGCCCAGCCTGAGGCCAGTGGAGCAGGCAGCAGAAGGCGAGGAGAGTGGCAGGGGGTGAGGCAGGCGCTGGGTGGGAAGCCCAGGAGGAATGTGTGTTTCATCCTAAGAAAAAGCCTTGGAGAAACCAGGAGCCGGGAACTCAAAGCAGGGGAATGACATGGCTTGTTCCTGCCACCCCTGAGAGGCTCAAATTTGGGGCAGGTAAAAGCAGCCACAGGCTGGGCACAAAGCTCAGAACAATGTACTTCCCCAAGTGACATCTCAGGGCGTGCAGAGGAGCCCCATGGCACACTCTGATGCTCAGGCCTCTGCTCTGACCCCACCTCCCAAATCTCACAGCACTTCCCCCACCAGCCTCGCTGGGGTCACCAACACTGGAGATCCCATTCTGCCACGGGAAAATGGGCACAAGCACCCATGCCAAAGGCTCCCAGATGGCCAGAAGTCCATCCACGTATCTCAGTCCTGGAACATCTCATTTCAGTCCAGCTGCCCATTCACACTAGACTGGCCTGATGTGGCAGAGCAGGAGGTGGCTGGAGGTCATCTTCCTGCATCCCAAATAGCCAGGGGTGGGAGGGGCACTGAGTGGAGAAGCTGTGATTAAGACACAGGCTCCAGAGTCTTCCAGGCCCTGTGCCTCAGTGACCGCAGTCAAGTCCCTCCACTGTCTACATCTGTACCCCTCTGTAAAACGGGTTGAGCAGGGCACAGGCAGCACCCTGTAACAGCTTGCAGGGGGCACCTGGAGAACTTACATCGCAACTGAGGTCGTTGTCGTTGGTGACGGTGAGATCTGCCAAGTCCCCCAGGCTCACCTCCCCGCCCCCGATAGTGTCCATGATGAAGACGTCTGAGGAGAAGCCAAAGGAACCTGGTAGGGGGAGGGGAGGGAGGGGCAGAGAGGGCCAGGGAGAGAGAGAATGACAGAGAGAGGCAGAGAGAGAGATAAGGAGCAAGAGAGAGAGACAGGGAGAGGACAAGATGAAGAATCACAGCTGGAAAGAGACAGAGAGACAGACAGGGCAGGACAGACAAAAAGAGAGGGAGACAGACAGACAGACGAACTTTTGGGGCAGGGAGGCTGCAGACTGGAGGCTGGGCCTCGACCCTGAGGACACAGAAGCCCTGGGCTCAGCTCTGCAGCCTCCCTCTGCCGTGGGCCCGCAGGACTGGGGCCAGGTGGGGGGTGCCTCTTACCTTCGTGTGGCCGGGGCTGGGGTGTGCCAGGAGGTGGGCCGGTCACTTTTGGCGGCAGCCCATCCACATCCCGCAGGTCAGCCAGGATGCCTTGGAGTTTGACCCGACGGCTTTCTGCAGGATCAAGGAACAGGGCCGGAGTCGCCTAGCAGTTCCAACCCAGCCTGCTGCAGGTGATGCCTTTCCCACACCAAGGACCCCCTGCTACTGTGGGGGGCTGTGAAGCTCTGGCCCCAGTGGGGCTATGGGCAGAGGAGGGGAAGCTGACTGGGCCCCTCCGTGGGCAGTAGGCAGGTCACTGCCTTGCCTGGGCCTCAGGCCCCAGCCATCCATCCCATGTGACCTGAGGGCCCTCCTAGCTGGGAGTCACAAGACAAGGAGGAAGACACAGCCCTCCCACCTGCTTCTCCCCCACTGGGTCCTCATCCTGTTCCCTCCTTGAGGCCGGCCAGAGCTAGACGCCCGCCCTAGAAGGCTGGCGGCACTGCTTCAGGAAGAGCCAGGCCTGCCTGCGTCTCCACGGGGATTTTCCAGGGAAGAGGTGAGGGGCTGGCCACCATGGCCTGGGCCTCCTGCTCTCCTTGGCTACCCTCCTCTCAGGAAGCGTATCCGTCCGGTGGAGAGACCCTGCACAGGAAGCAGCTGTGGGCAGCTGGGCCTGCTCCCGCCCCTCAGTGGGGAAAGCAAGCGGAGCCTGGCCAGAAAATCTGAGCTCACCCAGCTCGTGGGGGCTCCCATCCATGGGGCACCGCCGAGGGTCTGGAGCCCCTTCCCCGTCCTCTCCTGAGCCCAGGAAGTCAAACTCGTTGATGGCATCCTCAGAGTCGTCCTCCTCGTCCTCGTCTTCCATTTCGGGCACCAGGGCCTTGGATGGGAGCTGGGGCATAGAGAAAGCCAGACAAGTCAGGGGCCCTCTTGTCCAGAGACTAAGCCACCCCCATGCCTGAGAACAGATAATCTGGGGCTCCGGGCCTGTCTCTGCTCATGGGGCTGCCTCAGCCACCAGCTGGCTGCCCTGGAGCGCCCCCTGCCGGAGTCTTGGACGGCTGCTACCACTGGGGCTGGTTGGTCTGGCCCCACCCAGCTCAGCCTGTTCCAGTCCCCTAGCACCCAGCCTTGAATGAAGAAAAGCCACATAATGCAACAATCTGCCTTCAGGGAGAGCAGATATGCACTGGTGTCCGTGTGTGAGCATATGGAGGTGCAAACTGAAGTGAGGACAAACAGACCACAGCATTGCAACCATAAACACAGCAGCGGCCTCTGTGCAGGCTCAAGAGCAAATCCCACTCACTGACTACGCTCGCAGACACGGCTTTACTTAACCCCACCCCTGTGAGCAGCTACCGTGAACACTCTCATCACTCCCCATGACAGCCCAGGAGACCGAGCCTGAGTAGGGCAACCCACTTGCCCCAGGTCATCAAGGCCAAGCTCAGCCCACCGTCAACTCCTCCATCGTGTGGCTGGCCCCATCCACATGTCGGCACCCAGGCTAAGTCTGGCGACACCTCTAGGGCACCAGTGAGGGGCCAGCCTCTGACCGGCATGGGGGGACCAGACAGACGGGACATGGAGAAGAACTATGGTCAAGGTTTATTCAACACCTGGGGAAAGAATGGGGAGGGGGCTTTAGGACTACAGAGGAGGGAACTGCCCTGGGCGCTCTGAGGGGCACACCAACGAGCCGCAATGGTGCTCTGCCAGCAGTGCCTGGAACAATGAGAGCTCCACCACACCAATGCCACCAGCGCCACTAACACCTGATGAGCACTTGGGGGACAGCCACCGTGCAGCTGAGGGCTTCCTGGGCACCAGCTATTTCTAATGAATCCTCAACTACCAGACACAGAGACTCAGCCCGATCTGAAGGGAGAGGAGACTGAAGCCAAGACAAAGCAGCGTGGGCCCGAACTCATGCAGCTGGGCTGGGGCCACCTGGGAGACAGGGGCAGTCCCCTGGGTTCCCAGCTGGGCCTCACTGGAGGGCTGCCGTGTGGAGACAGAGAGCCCTACACAACCAGCCAGCCCCAAGGGTGCAGGCCTGTGGGGCTGTAAACACCACGGATGATTCCTGAAGGGACAGGTGGAGGGTGGAAAAGGACTGGAAATTCCCAGAGGGGCAGGAAGGAGCCAGCGTCTGGACCAGGGGCCAGCATTTGAGGCCCTGGACTCGGCCCTCCTGCTCCTCCTCTAGGCCTCTTGCAGTGCTGCAGCTCCGTGCACACCACTCCATTTGGGGTGTGACTCTGTGCTGAGCCACACTGGGAACACTGGAGAGGGAGTGGAGGCCCAAACAAACCCAGTCCCTCCCAGACCAGACAGGGAGGACCCCAGAGTGGCCAAGAACAGGGAAGGGGGCCCAGGGTGAGTTAAAGAAGGCTTCCTGGGGGGTGGGGGGTACCTGAGCTGAGTCTAAAGGAGGAAAGGAAGGGGACCCAGGCGAAGGGGCCCGCTAGTGGGAAGGCCAGGGCCCAGGGAAAGCCCCGAGGCCATCTCCCGCAGGTCCCTCCTTCATGGGCACAGGCCCCAGCCTCCACCACAATGTGTCTTTCTGCACACTACTATTTACAAGGCCGCTGCTGGCCAGAGCTCCTCCAGGCTAGGGCCTGTGTGTCTCCACATCCCTACTGCCGACACAGTGTAGGCCCTGAAGGCCCCAGCTAACTCTGGGAAGGGCCTGGACCAGGTAGCAGCCGGCCAGGCTTCGGGGGCGTGGAGGAAGGGGCTCACCTTCACACGCTGCTTCTTGTGCTGCACGCTGTCCAGCTCATCATCCTCGTCGCTGTCTTCGTCCTCGCAGTTCTGCAGGAAGGGGATCTGCCCCAGCACCGAGCTGCCCAAGCGCTCTTTGCCATCTCTGCCTGCCGCGTTCCTGCCCAAGACAGCAGAGCAGAGGAGGATGAGTCCTGCCAGGTGTCAAATCTCAGATGGGAAGGTGCCTGCCCAGGCTTGGTGGCCAGAGTCCAGACCCAACTAACCCCCTAAACCTTGAGAAGCCTTGACTCTGGTCAGACACAAAGCCCCAACCCCAGCCTCTGCCCAACAAATGCTCATTCCAACTGGAAGCCTCACTTAGACCACAGACAGTCCTCACTGACCTCCGACCCGAGTTCCAGAGGGCCAGCCCCCAACCCTGGCCACAAATCTCCATCCTATGCCGAGTCAGGAGGAAAGCTGGATGAGAAAGTGCCACTGACTCAGAGTCCCCATTCCGACAGCCTGGTCAGACCACAAGAGCAGGTCACGCAGGAGGCAGATCGTCCCGCAGGAGGCAGATCGTCCCGCAGGAAAGACTAGCGGCCATTCTACAAATGCTCAGCAAGGCGCCAAGAGCCAGCCAGCCTCGCATGAGCGGGGGCGCCGGCGATCCCTGCTACTCAGGAGCCTGCACTATCCTCAGCAACAGATGGCACTCCTCCCTCCACCTCCTGGCTTCCAACTTCATGACAGGTTTTAGCAGAGGAGGTACTGACCCAGCCTGACTGCGGAGAAGGCAGGTGGAATTCGAAGTACAGATCGACGCAAACATCCCCTATCCTGCCATCAGGTTGATGCCCTGGAGGTCTTGTCAGCTGCCCAAGGGTGCAGTTACCACTCGGTGTAGAGATCACTGCAGATTTACCCACTTGCTTCAGGGCTGCCATCTGCAGAACTCCGCTCCATGCTCTTAAACACCTGCCCAGAATACTCCCTGCACTCCCAGCGGGACACGGGACATGGGACACTGTTCTCATGGTACTTCCTCCCAGACACCGACACCAGCTGCATGGGCTCAGCCTCCTTCTCAGCTTCCTCTTTCTCCCTCCAGCCTCTAAGTGAGAGAGCACCCGGGCTCAGTCCCCAGATCTCTTCTCTAACCATCTACACTCATTCCAGGCACTGCAGGTGGCCCGTGGTTTTCCAAAGAATGCCCATGTGCTTGTTCAACTAGAGCTATGTTTAGGGGCCCGAGCTCCGCATCTCCACATGGGGGTAAACAGGCCCCTCATGCTTCACATGACCTTGGCAGCCCCCAGAACTTCCACTCCAAGCTTCCCCGTCTCAGGGGGATGCTGCTCCAATGGCTCACAACAAACCCTGGAGTCCCCCATTTCTTTCCTCTCCCCTTAGCTGCAGTCCTTTAGCGTCAACTGCCCGAAAGCCCCTGGGGAAGTGAACACCTCTTGCCTCGCCACTGCTAAGGCCCATCAGCTCTGGCTTGGACATCGAGATCCTCTCCCAACCGGTCCCCCTGCCTCGTAGGGGACCCTCCTACAGCCTCTCCTTCTCAGAGCGAATCAAGAATGTGGGATTATGTCACTCCCCTGCTCAAAACCACTGGCTTCCCATACCCGACTCGAATCTAGACTAACCCAGCCCAAGGCCCGAGTAACAGACTCCGTGGTGACCTCCTGTGGCCCACGCCTCACCGCCTGCAGTCACGCCAGTCTCGTGCTGCTTCTGCATGGGCTACACCTCTCCTGCCTCAGGACCCCGGGGTTCACTGTGCCCTCTGCCTAGAACATTCTACTCATGCAGCTTATCTCTGCACAAGCATCACCTCCACAGAGGCCCTCCCTGCCCACCCCCCCCCCAGAGGAGCACTATTTCACTGAGCACGTATTGGCCCTCGTGGGCTTCACTGCACTTAGCATCACCTATATGGCCTCGCTTGTTTGGCTTAACTGACAACCACTGATGAAACAATGAACAAGCCAGAGCTTCCCGAGGGTGGCCACCTCACATGCTCCACTCCCTGCTGGCGAGGCACCCCACATGACCGAGGAGCATGCAGGTCTGAGTATCAGGATGGGAGCAGGGCTGGAGATGAGGCCATGGGAAAGTGTGTGGAAGGAACTCAGAACAGAATCCAGGGGATCCCAGCAGTGAAGAGACTGAGGATTTTGAAACAAGGGAGCCCACAGCATACTCCAGGAGGAGGGGCCACCAGGGCACCCAGGGACATCAGCTGACGTTCTGTCCCTGGCCCTCAGCAGCAGTCAAGAGGAAGAAAGACATATTTGCCAGGCCCAAGGGCTCACCTCTTTATCTGCTCCTCGATCTGTTTCACCAGCAGCGACTCCCCACTGCTGAGCCCCGGAGGGCCTGGTGGAGCCCTGGGGGTCCCTTCACCTGGCTCCACTGCCCCGTTGAGCTCCAGTGAGCGACCCAGCAGGGAACGGACACGCTTAGATCGCATGTCGAGGATGGTGTCTGTGTAGCCCACCTCTTCCAGGTACCTGCAGGGGTGCAGAGCCATATGGGTCAGACATCCCCTGGGCTTCTTCAGGTACCGCAGGGGCCAATGCAAACTGAGGGGACCTCGTAAGGTGCCACTTAAGAGCATACACCAAAATCTGATGTAAGCACACCCTCACTGCGGCTGTCCCCATCAAGGCAATTTCCAGTGGAAGCCCTTGTACACATGCACAGTGCTGTCGCGTGAGGGTGCTCCCTGCACTGCTGTCCAGGGAAGCCGAAGCACAGGGACCAGCCTCAGCACCCAATGATGGACTGTGTCAGCAAAATGCTCATAGGGCTGCGAGGCAGAAGATCAACACAGCAGAGCCTTAAGGAAAGCTGGCCACGGTAAAGAGCAGAACAAAAACGCTAAGTTCGACGATCCACATGATGCCAGTGTTTGTAGAAAAAAACAAAGAGGCGTTACTGTGCATATAAGCTTACACTACACACACACACACACACACACTTGTATCATGTACCCCAAGAGGCCTAGAAAGACCCATAAAAAGCGCAACAGCAGCGACCTCTGGAGAATGGGATTGGGGCGTTAAGAGGAACTTGTGCACCTGACTCTACTGACTTCTACAAATGAGCACTTACTACTTCTGCAACTTAAAAAACTGAAGCCAGCTGCGACTGGACTACAAGTAAAAAAAGAAGGAGAAAAAGAACAAAAATCAATCCGGGGTATCTGCGGCTTCAAAATAGAGACAACAGTCCCTTGCTAATCCTCAGGAGGCTTCTGGGCCGAGAGGCCTTTGCCGTCCCCTCTCCCTTTGCAGCCCTGACCCTGCCTCTCCCGTGTGAGGCTGCATGCACATCTCATCCCATGCGTGGCTCCTGTCTCCCGCCAACAGAGAGACAGGGAAGCATGGGGCTTTAGAGTTGGGCACTGGGGCAGATTGACCAAGAGCTCACAAACTAACCACGTGACCTGGTGCAAACACATCACCTCTCCACATCCCAGTTTTCTCGTGAGGGGAGCACTGAGAGATGTCAGTGAGGAGCCACCGTGTGGACAACGTCTCGCACCGTGCCAGGCGCGTGCCAGGTACTTGATAAGTAGAGCCTGTTAGTGTTACTCTTAGCATTTTAGGGTTACTGTGTGGGCATACTTTAAGCTGGCAACTGCACTTCCAGGTATCTTACCTGAGGAAACCAAGAATGTGCACAATACCTTCTTGATTCTTATCACATTGTCTATAATACTAAAAAATTAAAAACAACTTCAACAGAATATACAAGAAGGAATTGGCCATGGAGAGTTATCGTTATCCATATGACAGACAATTATCTGTTGAATTTTTTTCTTCTCCACAGGACCAAAGGAAGGAAATTATAAGGTCCTCAAAATGATACAGCATTACTAATTTATATGGAGAGATGTTCCCAACTCTTAACAGTGAAAAGAAATCCCAGTTTTTATAAAATATATAAGCAGGGCTGGGCGCGGTGGCTCACGCCTGTAATCCCAACACTTCGGGAGGCCAAGGCAGGTAGATCACTTGAGTTCAGGTATTCAAGAACAGCCTGGCCAACTTAGTGAATCTCTGTCTTTACTAAAAATACAAAAATTAGCTGGGTGTGGTGATGCACGCTGCTAATCCCAGCCACTTAGGAGGCTGAGGCAAGAGAATCACTTGAACCCAGAAGGTGGAGGTTACAGTGAGCCGAGATTGTGTCACTGCACTCCAGTCTGGATAAAAGAGCAAGACATTGCTGGGCGCGGTGGCTCACGCCTGTAATCCCAGCACTTTGGGAGGCCCAGGTGGGTGGATCACGAGGTCAAGGGATCGAGAGCATCCTGGTCAACATGGTGAAACCCCATTTCTACTAAAAATGCAAAAAATTAGCTGGGCATGGTGGCACGTGCCTGTAATCCCAGCTACTTAGGAAGCTGAGGCAGGAGAATTGCCTGAACCCAGGAGGCGGAGGTTGCGGTGAGCCGAGATCGCGCCATTGCACTCCAGCCTGGGTAACAAGAGTGAAACTCCGTCTCAAAAAAAAAGAGCAAGACATTCTCTCAAAACATAAAAAATAAACAAATAACGTAAGTAAATAAAATACATAAACTGAGCAGAGTGGCTCATGCCTGTGGTCCCAGCTACCCAGGAGGCTGAGGCAGGAGGATCGTTTGAGCTCAGGAGATCAAAGTTGCTGTGAGCTGTGACTGCACCACTGTACTTCAGCCTGGCCAACAGAGTGAGACTGTCTTATTAATTAATTCATTTATTAAGACAACAGAGGCACAAATATACAGCCATGGAAAAAATCGAGACTATACAGGGCAAAATGTTTATAGGGGTATGAAGTTTCTTGGGTGGAGGAATTATGAGTGATTTTTTTCTCTCTGCTCTCCTATATTTTCCAAGTTTTCTAAAATGTGCAAATCTCTTCAACAATTAAAAAATAATAATTTGAGGACTGGAACAGTGGCTCATGCCTCTGGGAGGCCAAGGCAGGTGGATCATTTGAGGTCAGGAATTCAAGATCAGCCTGGCCAACATAGTGAAACCCCGTCTCTACTAAAAATACAAAATTAGCCTGGCATACCTGTAATCCCTACTCGGGAGGCAGAAGAATAGCTTGAACCCAGAAGGCAGTGGTTGCAGTGAGCCAAGATCACACCATTGCACTCCAGCCTGGGCAACAAGAGCAAAGCTCTGTCTCAAAAAATAAAACCAAAATAATAATAATTTGGCCAGGCATCCTAGCTTATGCCTGTAATCCCAGCACTCTGGCAGACCACGGTGGGCAGATCACTTGAGCTCAGGAGTTTGAGACCAGTCTGGCCAACACAGTGAAACCATGGCTGTACTAAAAAGTACAAAAATTAGCCATGTGTGATGGCACATGCCTGTAATCCAAGGTACTCAGGAGGCTGAGGCAGGAGAATTGTTTGAGGTGGAGGGAGGCAGAGGCTGCAGTGAGCTGAGATCGTGCCACTGCACTGCAGCCTGGGCAACAGAGCAAAAACTGTCTCAAAAAATAATACTAAATACTATTAATAATTTGCTGGTCCAAACACGGTGAGCGACTGTGATCGTTCACAGTCGATTACAGACCTACTTACAGATTTGCCCTTTTTCCCCACTTCCCACTGCTCCATTTGATTAGTCTTAAAAAAAAAAAACAAATAAAAAATAACTGAATATTACCCTTGGGGAATAAAGAGCCACACTTCATAAATCTTCACACACACACACACACATATACATATATTAAAGTCACACTTCAGGGCTCCTATGGCCAGTGAGACCAAAACAAAAACAAAAGGCCGCAGAGGCAGAGGCAGAGGCGCTCAGGGACACGTCCAAGGGGGGCGTCTGCCTCCTACAGCAGCTTCCCTCCCGCTCCCCAGGCCAGGCTCCGCCCACGGGGAAAGGCCATTCCAGCCATGGCTGGCTAAGATCCTGATATTTCGTGTCCCCAGTGGGGAAGGAAAGGACTATGGAGTGTTTGGACTTCTCTCTCAAGCCAAGCGTGCCCCGTGTTCCCAGCCCCCGCCCCCCCCCAGCACACTCACTGTCGGAGAAGCTGCCGCCCCTCCTTCCACACCAGTGGGCTGTTCTCCAGGGTGACCGATTCCACGGGGCCATTGGAGACTGGCAGGTGGAGAGAATGGAGGCTCTCTTAGTCAGGCCACTGCCACCTACCCATCACCTCCTACATCTTCCTCACCCCTCCAACCCAAATTGGTCACTGTCACGGGTCCTGTGGCACCACTCCCTGAGTGCTGGAACCCTGCTCTCCCTGAATGCAGGGATTCCTCCTCCCTGAAGCAGCCTTCATCTCTAGTCTGCTGACTGTCATTCCCCAGACTGGCCCCCGACAAGACAAGGGTTTATCTTAGAACTCTGGGCAAGTTATCATCTTCCTCCACAGCAAGCTGGCCAGGGCCTGGGCAACATGGGTAAACAAAGACCCCTGCCCTTGTGGAACTTCCATTCTAGTGAGAGGAGCTGGCAGCAGGTAACGACCATCACTATCAGCCTAGCACACAAGGTCTTCCCAGCTTGCCTTGGCCAAGCTTCCCCATTACCTGACCTGCCCTCCCACGTCCTCTGCCCTCTCTACACATTTGCCCAGTCACAGTGACCAACTTCCTGTCCCCTATCTCTTTCAGCGTACATCTAAGCGTCTGTGCTCTCTCCCCTCACTCTCCTGCTGGGGAAGTGAGTCATCTTTCAAGAAGCTTAGACTCCAAGGGACCAGAGGGCAGGGACCATGTCTCCCGTACTCTCTGCTGGGTCCTTGATCTGTGATACAAAGCCTGCACCCCACAAATAAATGTCTTTTTTGGATAAATGACTGAATGCCAACCCTGTTCAAACGCCACTTCCTTGGTGACGTCTTCCCGGCTCTCCTGCACCATCCCCGGCCCTCTATAAATAGCCCTGGCGCCCACTCCTTGCAGAGGGATCCTGTGAGCTGCTCGTGTGTCTGCCTCTGGTGCACAGGGGGACGGCAAGCAGGATTGGCCGCAAGGGTCCGGCACAGAACCTGCCCATGGGCAGGGCTCTGAGAGTGAGATTCTGCCCTCCCAGCCGCGGGGTGATTCTGCCTTCTGAGGAGCAAAGTGAGAAAGAGGCACCCCATCTTCCTGCTTCTCCAGCACACTCCGCTTCCTCGGGAGGGTGCCCACAGTGCAAGTATCAGAGGGTGGGTACCTTGTTCTGACACATCTGCTTTCTTCTCCCCCTGGTTCAGGTCTGTCCCAAACTTCAGTTTATGATATTTGGCCCTAAAAGAGCAACGATCAATGAATAAGAAATGTGGGAGAGCAGACAGGGTCAGTCGTTACCTGAGGAATCCGGAATTCCAAATCCCAATTGGCAGGGCTTCTTCCTAACCACTCTCCTATCACTGAAGCTGAACTGTCCCCCAACACCCCGGCCTGGAGGAAGAGATCACTCCCTGGAGTCAGGCAACCTAGGCTGTTCTCAGGGGTCCTTGGAGAAATCATCAGCCCTGGAAACCCCAGTTCCTTATCAGAAACCGGGCGAACAATACCCATTAGGCTATTGGAAGGGACAGGAATAACATGGGTAGGGAATATACGGTACCTGGTGCACAGCGAGCCACCAGCATTGTGAATATTTTTCCTGGCATCTAGCCCAAATCCCACCTACTCTGTCGTTTCTCCCCTAGAACCTTATGGAACTGCGATGATGAAACCTTATGGAACAGCCCAACCCCAAAGAATGCTGGTCCCAAATCTCCCTCAGCGGGAAGCAGGCGTGGCTGGTGGCCTCCTGACACTAAGCTTGAGACGCACCCAGAAGGCAGGCCCGGGCGGGGCGAAGGCTCACCTTTCCTGCTTCAGCGCGTACTCTAGCATCTTGATCCGCCGCACCAGGTCCGTCTTGAGATTCTCCTGCCCTTTCCTCTCTCCCTGGAGGAAGGCCACCTGTGCCTGGGAGGGCAGATAGGAGGCAAAGGAAGACACCGGGGCTCAGGCTCACTGCTGGTGTGTCCATCACTCACCCAAGTACAGTGCCAGTCCCCAGGCACCCCTCAGTGATGGGCGGCAGCCACTTCCTCAGGCGACAAAGATGCCGAGTCAGGGTTCGGGGAGCATTGAGAGGACAGTCTAGGTCTGTTTCCAGGGCCTCCTGCCACATCACCAACAATGAGAGCTGAAGGGGAGCCCTTAACCCCTGAGATGACAATGGGGCCAGCTCGAGCCTCACTTGGCAGCTGCCTTTTGGGGAAAGTTGGGTCTGGGGTGGCGGTGGAGAGGAGGGTGGGCATTCACCACCTGGACTCCCCCACACCCTCCAGCAGGTGCTGTCCCTCAGGCTGCTGGTGGAGGTGGCATTCCACTATTCTTACCAGAGCATCTGTCTCTGGGAGGCGTAGGAAGCTACTTCTGGAGCTTAGGGACAAGAGTGGGTGGCTCGGCTCGGCTCCCACTCCAACACAAGAAAGCTTGACTAGCCAGGCCTTCGCCATCCCACTGCATTCCACCCTGGGTGTGAGGGAAATGGGCCGCAGAATGACCCCTGCCGAGCACTTCACACCGTCTTGGTTTGAGCGGCGCCGTCTGCTCCAGTCTGTCAACAGGTCATTTGGAGACACTGGGCCCACTGCCTTCCAGGCAGGATCCTGGCTCCTGACCATGGTCTGGAAGCCCTTGTGCCAAAGCCCTGGCTCAGGGCTCAACCCTGGCTTCTCCCCAAGCACTCCACCACTCCATCCCAGGACAGCCAGAGCTCCAGGCCCAATGTAGACACTTACTTGCCACATGACCGAGGCAGGTCATCAGCCTCCTGAGCCTCCATCTGCCCCTCTAGAAAATGAGACTCCTAAGAGTGCCCTCCCCTCACGTGCCAGGCTCTGCTCGGCCCAAGGCCTGGCAGGGTTTAGCTAACAGACGCCAGCTTGTACCTTTCTCATCATTTTTATTCTCCCTGTCCATCTTTCACGACTCCAAAATGGGCCCAGTTCCTTAGGGGAGGTAGGATCCTTGGAGACCCCACATCAATAAGAAATGTCTGTAGACTGGCCAGGCACAGTGGCTCATGCCTGTAATCACAGCACTTTGGGAGGCTGAGGTGGGCAGATGACTTGAGGTCAGTAGTTCAAGACCAGCCTGGCCAACGTGGTGAAACCCGGTCTCTACTAGAAATACAAAAAACTCAGCCAGGTGTGGTGGTGCACACTTGTAGTCCCAGCTACTCGGGAGGCTGAGGCAGGAGAATCACTTGAACCTGGGAGGTAGAGGTTGCAGTGAGCTGAGATTATGCCACTGCACTCCAGCTTTGTCTCAAAAAAAAAGAAACACACGTCACGAGTTACCTTATAGAGAAGAAACCTCATCTGTCCTCTTCGAGAATAAGAATTGTTTTCCCTCTTAACACCTTTTACCAACACATATCTATATAAACACCCGAGGCCAGACAGGAAAACTACTTATGCAACATCAACATCTCTGAAGCGTGAGTTTCTGTCCTTTGTATATCTTCTCGATCCCCCAAATCTACTCTCTGAATCACTGGAGAAGGTGTAAGGAGAGGCGGACTGACCACCAAAGACAAGTCCCAACTTTTCTCCTCACTCTCCTCCCCACCCTCCTGGGCTCTGGTAATTGATCCTTCAACCTCTCAGGGGCAGTCCAGCCTGCCGGGAGCCTACATCTCGGTCAACACCCACCACAGTTTGGTGACTGCCCACTCGTGTCAGGTGCCCCAGTAAGGCACTAGGGAATAACAGAGGAGCCACGTGGTTCCTGCCCCCCACAGGACTCAGTCCTGTGCAGGAGACAGGCATGAGCAGCAACTCACACACAACGTGATTAGGACCTTGTTGCAGGAGCGAAAGACGCTATGGGAGGAGGGACAAGAAGCGACAGTTCTGCTAAGGCCTGAGGCTGAAGAGAAGTTAGTCAGGGGAGGGGAAGACACTACTGGCAGAGGACCGACGAGCTGCGCGGTGGGCTAAGGAACGCTAAAAAGGCCAGGATGGCTGGTTCAGAACATGTGAAAGGCTCAACGAGGGCAGTTAGAGAAGTGCAGAGGCCCAGCAGAGGGAACACAGAGAAGCCACGGAAGGGTTTCAAGCAGAGATGGAACCAATTCGCATGTCACGAAGGCAGCCCAGCTACAGCACGGAGAACTGCCTAGAGGGAGCAGGAGGTGGCAGAGCTGGACACAGAGACCCCTGTCACAGAAGGGGGCAGTCCTAGAAACCCCAGGACAGAACTGCAGTGGTCTGGACTAGGATGGGGGCTGTGGACACAGTGGTGGTCTATCTGTGGGGGCAGGAAGCAGAGTGGGGAATCCCACCCAGACCTCTCACTGGCTCAGCTTCCCCTTCATCCCCCTGATGCCTCATCGAGCCGTGGTCTCCCTCCTGCTAAAGAGGACGCATGGGTCTCTGCCACCCACTCTGCTTTGCTGTCCCATTCCCTGTGCCTCTGGAAAGAGAACCAGAAAGATGTGGTTGGCGTGTCTCAGGGAGGTGGAATCCACCAAAAACAGGAAGCATCGGCGGCCAGTCAGTCTCTCCCTCGCTGCAAACATCAGCAGCCCCCAACTGGCTGCCTGGTCTGCAAGGGCCAAGGGTTGTAGTGGGCCTTCCAGGATTTGGAAGTACTGGTCACCACCGCTCACCACATCCACCCACTGCCACTCCCTCTGGCCAGAGCCGAAGAGCACACGCCCCCAAAACCTTCTGATACCTGGCAGCTCCTGCCTCTCTGCCCCTCAAGCTATTCCCAGCAAGGCAACATCCAAAGGCTTGGGAGAAGTCCTAGCAATGCAGTCCTCCCAGGAGCTGATGCCTCTCTGAATTCACTGCTTCCTGCCTGAGCTCCCTGGGAGGAGTTCCCGTTTTGTGCCATCTAGCCCTCCATCTTCTAAGGGCCTTCTTCCCAAGCTTCAGCAGCTGCTGGTAGGGATGCGCCCCCTGGAAGCTGGGGTGGGGAGGGGACAGCTCCACACATTCTCTGCCGGCACTGCACTCACCACAGCTCCCTATCGCTGCTCCTATATGAATTTCCAGTTCAGATCTCTCATTAAAAGGTCCCTGGCATCCTCAAAAAGCTTCCCCTGTCAGAGCTGCCACAGAACATGGGCAGAGCCACACAATCAAGTGTGCATGGACATTTACAGCTCTGCGGTTCCCTGCATGAAGGAGCTTCCTCTGCCAGCCTGGAAGTTTCAGATAGGCAGAAAGCACATTACCTGCTTCTCAGAATTCCCCACTTGGCAAATGCCTACTCATTACCAGACTGCAGCTCTGGCACCTTCCTGCTCCAAACTGACGGTGCCTGCTGGCAGGACCTCCTGAGGGGCTGCCTGCTCTGCCATCCGACACATGTACCAAGCACAGGCGCGTGAGAAGTCTTCTGCTAGGAGCAGCTGTATGCAGCTCTTTGAAGAAAAGTGATTCAGAGTCCAACAGGAAAACCTGACACTGCCAAGGTGTTAAGGGCTCTCACAGGGGAAGTCACTCCGTCTATTACTGTAAGTGTTCGAGAAAGGGTGCGTAAAAGAGGTGCCGCTGATGGGAGAGGGTGGGGGGTGTGAACGTGGAGAGTCCATCACTGTTTCATAAACACATCCCCTCTCCTATTCCACCCATCCGTTCTGCTTCATACTCGCAAAGGAATAAGGGGTATTCACTGCAGCCATGTCTGCTGAGAAAAACTAGAAAAACTCTCAAAGTCCACCAACCAGGGTGGAACTCAATCAGCTACCGTTCGGCCATCCCGTGGGATGCTATGCAGCTAGGAAAAAGAGCAAGAGTTCTCTGTGCTGACACAAAAGGAAAACCAAAACACACTATTACGTGAAAGGCACAAAACGTACACACAGCAGTTCATCCATTACACAAGCTTTCTTGTGTAATAGATGAACTCTTCTTTCTCAGGAGAGAAGAGCGGGAAAGGGACGAAGGGAGGGTACGTTCCTTTTTCACTCACATTTATATGTGTATACATACACTCACACACACACACCCCCCCTCTGAGATGTTTGAATTTTTACTAATGTAAAAAGGTGACAGTGTTGGCACCATGCCAGGTACAAGTTCCTCTCAAGCTCCAAGAAGAGTCACTAAGGGAGGGGATATACATTTTTTCCCTCAGCCTCCAGGATGACAAGAAAGCGTGGTGGGCACAGAGCACTCGCACAAAGTCCCAGAGGCTGAGATTCAGTCCAAGCTCTGTTATGACTGCTTGGGTGACTATGGGGAGGCCACTGTGCTTGCCTGAACCAGTTTTCTCATCTGTACTGGGTAGCAGAGAGGTACAGAACACGGGCTTAAAAAGTCCACAGATGGCCAGGCACAGTGGCTCACGCCTGTAATCCCAGCACTTTGGGAGGCTGAGGCAGGTGGATCACTTGAGGCCAGGAGTTCGAAACCAGCCCGGCCAACATGGCAAAACCCTGTCTCTCCTAAAAATACAAAAACCAGCCAGGCATGGTGATACATGCCTGTAATCCCAGCTACTCGGGAGGCTGAGGCAGGAGAATCACTTGAACCCCAGAGGCAGTGGTTGCAATAAGCTGAAATCATGCCACTGCACTCCAGCCTGGGCGACAGAGTGAGACCCTGTCTCTTTTTTTTTTTTGAGACGGAGTTTCGCTCTTGTTACCCAGGCTGGAGTGCAATGGCGCGATCTCGGCTCACCGCAACCTCCGCCTCCTGGGTTCAGGCAATTCTCCTGCCTCAGCCTCCTGAGTACCTGGGATTACAGGCACGCGCCACCGTGCCCAGCTAATTTTTTGTATTTTTAGTAGAGACGGGGTTTCACCATGTTGACCAGGATGGTCTCGATCTCTTGACCTCGCGATCCACCCACCTCGGCCTCCCAAAGTGCTGGGATTACAGGCTTGAGCCACCGACCCTATCTCAAAAAAAAAAAAAAAAAAGGTCCACAGACCAGCCCTTCTGCTCAGCTGCTGGCATCCTAGATAAATCACTTACCCTCTCAAAACCTCCATTTCCTCTTGTGATGATTACTTTTTTGAAGGCAAGGGGGAATATCATTTACTCTCCCAGAATGCTGCAAGAATTCAACGGCAGCTCGTATGACAGTGCTTGATACAGCACTGTAGACATGATATGTGCTCACTGAATCGCAGCTGGCATCATTACTGCTGAGTGAGGTAATAACACTGGCTCTGCCTACATCATGGGGCATTGAGAAGATCTAATGAGATGTATGCTGGGAAAGAGCTGGGAAGTAGAGAGTGGGCCAGAAGTGAGAGCGTTACATAAGGATTCTGCTCCCACCCCAGCCTCAAGCCTCAGCCATGGCAAATGAGGGCAGGGGGAGTTAGTAGAGGGTCTTTACTCATCCTATAGACAAAAATGCCTTTTTTTTTTTTTTTGGAGACAGGATCTCACTCTTTCACTCAGGCTGGAGTGCAGTGGTGCAATCATGACTCACTACAGCCTCAACCTCCGGGGTTCAAGCGATCCTCCCACCTCAGCCTCCTGAGTAGCTGGGACTATAGGCACACGTCACCACGCCTAGCTAATTTTTGTATTTTTTCATAGAGATGGGGTCTTGCTATGTTGGCCAGGCTGGCCTCGAACTCCTGGGCTCAAGGGATGCTCCCACCTCGGCCTCCCCAAGTGCTGAGATTATAGGCGTGAGCCACCACACCCGGTCCCTATGGTCAAAATTCTCCTCAGTTATTTATTTGGGCACCAACTTCCACTAGATAGAAAATGGCAATTCAGAAGGGGAAAGGTGGGCTGCTACAAGCAAGGACTGCCAATTTCTGCTAAGAACACCTCAGTCCAAGAAT